CCCTGGGGGACACCTTCAGCTTGGATAAAGTCTGGGGAGAGCACATTATTAACCCGAACATGGAAATGTCTGTCAGTTAAAAAGTTCTTAAGGAAGGATGGTAGATTGCCTCGGAGGCCTAAGGAGTGGGCTTGGGCCAAAATATTATACCTCCAAGTTGTGTCATATGCCTTTGCAAGGTCAAAAATTATGGCAGTAACTGAGTGGTTATTCGCAAAGGCATTACAAACATACGTATCCAAACGTAGTAAGGGGTCTATGGTAGAACGTCCCTTACGAAAGCCATATTGACGAGTGGAGAGACTGTTGTGCGTCTCTAAATACCACACTAAACATCTATTTACCAGGCATTCCATCACTTTTTAAACTGCACTGGTAAGAGCAATGGGACGATAGTGGAAGGCTTCATGTCCCGTAGTGCCCGGTTTGCGGAAAGGGAGAACAGTGGCAGATTTCCACGGCTGTGGAAGAACTCCTTGTGACCAAATAAGATTGAAAAGTCGTAATAGGACTGCAAGGGCTGACTGATGTAAATGTTGTAGCATACGAATATGAATGTCGTCGGGCCCAGCTGCCAATGATCAGCAAGCTGAGAGTGTTGCCTCCAGTTCTTGAAGTGTAAAGGGCAAATTATACTGTTCTTCTCTGAGAGAAGAAAAGTTCAAGGGTACTAACTCTCTGACAGACTTTGAGGAAAGAAACGAGGGGCATAGATGGAGCCCCTGAGAAATACTGACCAGATGATTACCAATTTCATTGGCAACATCTAGTGGGTTTGCTATATCAACACCGGCAACCCGCAGAACAGGTGAATATTTACCACTCAGTTTTCGTACTTTTTTCCAGACTGCACTCATAGAGGAAGCAGAGGTGATGGTGGAGACGTAATCTCGCCAGCAAGTGCGTTTAGCATCACGGAATGACACAGCGAGTGATCGCACGCTTCTGCTTAAAATCAAGAAGTCTCTCCGTGGTTCTATTGTACCAGTACCTGCCCCATGCAGCGTGTTTCAAACGTACTGCACGAGCACAAGCAGGAGACCACCAAGGCACGCATTTCTGAGAATGCCTGCCCAAAGTTTGGGGTTTAGAATGAGAAGCTGCGGTTAAAATGGAGGTCGAGAAGAGGTGTAAAAGCTCATCAATGGAGGACGAAGAAGGAACCTCACTAAAAACAGTTATTTGTGAGTAAAGGTTCCAATTTGCCTGATTAAATTGCCAGCATGGGATATGAAGAGGTGGTGAATATGAAGGGGAAGTAAGAATGATTGGGAAATGATCGCTGTCATGTAAATCTGGGAGAACAGACCAGGTGAAGTCTAATGCGGCAGAGGAAGAGCAAACTGAAAGATTGATGCAAGAGTGTGTGAGAATCCGAGGATCAAAATGGGTGTGAGTACCTGTATTTAAAACATGGAGGGGGTGGGTAGCAAGAAAAGCCTCTAACTGAATGCCATGGGAATCACAGTGAGACCTCCCCAGAGGAAATGATGTGCATTAAAATCACCAAGTATCAGAAGTGGTGGCGGTAATGACAAAACAAGAAAGGCAATATCCAGAATAGATAATGCCCGAGAAGGAGAAAGATATAAAGAACAGAGCGTATACCACCTATGTAAGTGGATACGGGCTGCTGTGTAATGCAGCGAAGTACGAACAAATAGCTGATGGTACGGAATATCAGTGCCTAGAAGAAGGGCACTTTCATTAAAGGTCCCATCAGGAAAAGGATCTGAAGAATACAATAAATTATAGCCTGAGATGGGATAGATAACAGCAGAGTGTAATTTTGGTTCCTGTAAGCAAACACCAACAGTGGAAAACTGGGAGAGTAACATCTGAAGCTCACCCCGATTACCCCTGAGGCCGCATATATTCCACTGTACATAGGCCATGATTGGCAATGATAAAGATACCTGAAATCCGCAGGTAAGGGTTCCTACGGACTATAGGGGTTAGAAAAGTCCACATGCGGAGGCAGCGGAAAACGTTCAAGCAGTGAAGGAACAGTGCGCTGCGAAGAAAGGAGTTGCGCAGATGGAGGAGAGGAAAGACAAGGAACAGAGGGTGGATCAGTGTCCATTGATGGTTTGGTCTCTGCAATATATTCAGAGATTGCTTCAAGTGTTTCGGAATTCAGAGACGTCGTATGGGAGACAATATTGGAGATGGTAGGGGGAGGATGAGTAAAGATTGGAACTGTAATGGACTGTCCCAAGGTAGGGGGGAGGCAAAAGGGTGGAGGGAACTGGAGAAGAAGCATGGAAGGGGACAGAAGAGGCAGAAACCTGGGAGGTGGCAGTAGAGGAAGAAACTTGGGAGGGAACAGGGGAGGAAGGTACAGTACAAGGAGGAGGGTGAACCTCTACACTTGTAACAGAGCCAGTGAGAGGGGAAGAACCAGGTACAGAGACAGGGAAGGTAAAATGAGGAGGTGGAAGAAGGGAAGGAGGGGTTAAAGAACCTTTTTTTGACTTCTGAGAAGTAGAGGGACGATTGGGAGGAGGTGTCGTATGAGATCTCGTCGATACCAAGGCTTGTGAGGGAGAACACAAAGAAGCGAGAACTGACTGAGGCGTTGAAGTAGGGACGTCTGAGCCAAGGACAGCAAAAGAATTAGATACAGGAGTGACTATGGGAGAGGTAACCCCAGAGGAGGCTGCAGAAGATGGGACCCCAGAAGTGGGGGGATGTTTTGAAACACGGGAATAAGAAACATGAGGTAGTCTCCCTTGGAGGTGGAGATGAGAAACTGCCATGGCATAAGGGAGACCTTCTGCCTCTTTGAGATAACGGATTTCCCGCTCATTTAAGTAGACTTGGCAACGGCGAGAGTACGAAGGGTGAGCCTCATGACAATTAAGGCAAGAGGGAGGTCGATTGCAAGATGTATTAGAATGGTCATCGGCACCACAGACTGGGCATTCGGCTATATATCTGCAATATTTCGCTGGATGGCCAAATCGCCAGCAATTTCTAAACTGTTGCGGTGTAGGGATCACCTTTCGAACTTGTGATCGATGTCCTGCTACATAAACTGAGGATGGGAGTTCACGGCTGTCAAAAGTTAAACGAGCCACATTGCTAGGGTATCGTCTCCGCCTGCAGGCAGGAAGAACATAAGTGTCTACCTTGAGGATTGGGAGATCTTGGAGTTCCAGCTGTTCAAGAATGTCATTGCCACATGTCTAGAAATTTTGTTGAACTATGGTATGGGGCAGAATGATGGTACCACTACAAGAATTGAGAGAATGATGTTTTCAATAGTGACAGGAACAGTATCGATATGGGAAAGAAGAGAAAGATCATGAGCTTGGGTAGCATTCTGTACAGTGATGATGCGCGTACCGCTCTTAAGAGCATGAAAAGAAATATCTTTACCAACATGGCGTAGTAGTGCCTTGCCAATACTATGGTCGGAAAGATAGGCAATAGAAGAAGTCGGTCGTAAAGTGAAGAATTTAGCCCATTGTGCATTCTGAAACTGAGCGTGGAAAGGGAGTGCAGGACGTTTCGATCTTTTCTGAGAAGAACGAGAAGGTGGAGAAGTATCATCAGCAGGCAATTGTCGTTGGCGTTTAGGCGTGGGACCAGAGTTGGTCCGACGTGGAATGGGCCGGCGATTCAAAAATTGCCGCACCGTAGAGGCATAGTCAAAGGAGAGCGGAGGTCAGATAAATCGAAGGAGTCAGTCGAGACCTCAGTACCTGAAGCGGGTGAGGAAACAGCACCGGCAAGAGGTACAGAGGCATTAGGAGTGTCCGAAGAGTGGTCCAAAGACGAGGTGGGGTCATAACGGGGTGCGGTATCAAGAAGGGGCCCGGGGGTAGCAGGTTCATAGACTAGGGCTTCCATGGTTAGGTTACTTCTTTCTTTTTATTTTTAAGAAAAAAAGAAATAAGAAAAGAAAATAAAAATAAAAAAGAAAAAAAGGGGGGACCGGGGAGGGATAGTTCCTAGGAGGAATGAAAATCTCCCTCCGTGCCCAAGAGGACTTCAGCACTGCAAGTAGCGCAGATGCAGCATGGAACCCTTGCCATACACTACCCATCATGCCAGTAAACCAGCAATCCGGGATAGAAACCTCACATCTGCCGAGGTACCTCGGTGGACAAAAGAGAGGGCGGCTGGATATCCGTCACAAAGCATACCTCCTTCGGCCACCACCCCCGGAATCCGAAAGGTGGCTTCCAGAGATACACCCGTCGCCCGAAAGACACCCAAGCCACCCTCCGGGATACCAGAGAGGGATTGGGGCATCCCCAGGCAATCCAGATTCCACGGCAAACTACGCCACTGCCAAGAACCTCAATGGAATAGGATGGACCCCGATACCCTTTCCCCTACCTAGGAACTAGCGTGCCCGTGGGAAAAAATCCCAAAGGTCAAAAAGGAAGGGCAAAAGGGAGGGGTGGGGAGGAGGAGGAGGAAAGGAAAAAGGGGAGGATGGGGAGGATGGGAGAGGGAAGGGGGGATAATTAGGTTCGGTCTGAGGAAGGAGACCAACAGGTCTAATTCCTCAGACCAAGAGCCTCTTCACCATGCCAAGGAGCCCCTCTTGAAGAGGAACCCATCCTCAATATTCATAAAGTAACTAAAGGTCGGCCATCACTAATCCGTCATCATTGGGACCTGTAGTGTGCCAGATTAGTGAGTTTGCCGGATTACAGTGTGGTTAGGTTAGAATACACTTAATTAACCTATCAATAGAGACTCATTCTGCTACACCTTCATTTTCATCACCGCTTTCTCCTCCACTGGCTTGCTGCTGTGGATTTACAACTATTATCTGCACAATTTCTGAGTCAGTATAATGATGAAATTTGAAATTATGCTAGCCGAAATTAGTGTCGGATTACTGATGGAACCTGATAACTGATTGCAGGATTAGTGATGGCCAACCTGTACCATCAAAAGGATATTATACCAAATCTTTTTTCTATATATCACAAATTCTTTTACTTTTAGGTAAAATAACACAAAAAAATGAATAACAGATATTTATATTTACTTTGGTACAATATTTACCATTTATTCCTCCTCGTCTAACACTAAAATACAATCAATTCTAAACACGTACCAGAATATAAAACATTACTTTGCATGTTCAAAATAATGATGTTCCTCATTTTCTTCTGGCCTAACTAGTCATACTTAGGATAAATGTTAAGTAGCATTAAAATGAAGTAGAGATTTTAAGACACTACATACATGACTTTTAAGATGGCAACAAATCCTGGCCATAAGTCTACTTAATATATGGTAACCCATGGAAACCTACTGGAAATAAAACTATGCTGGACATAATTTTCATGAACAATGAGTATCCAATCATACAACATTCTCAAATGTTATACACAGCTCTGAGGCCTACCACCAACTTCTGTCTTGAGGCAAGTAATGCATCACCAGTATCAAGTTAGTTAAATGGCAAGTTATCCTGTCAGTTCAACCAGGCATCAGGGATCAGGACAATTTATGAGGTTTGACTGTCCTTTGTATCTACTCTCATTTGTCTTTTGTGGCAATTACAGTTTTGTTCATTGTGAGGTGTTCTACATATTCTCTGAGAATATTTCTTCAGACTGTGCTTTTTTTTTTTTTTTTTTTTTTTTTTTTTTATATAGTTTTGCCTCTTCATCTTCTCTTTGTATAAATATTTTGTGTCACTTTCTCTCTTGAATGGATATTATATTTGCAGAAGAAAATACTTAACCCTTTTCCTTTCACAAAAGAGTAAATTTAAACAAGAGAAATATCTCCACAATTTAGCCCAATAGAGGACCTATGATAGCACTCAGACTCAGTGCAAGAAGGGGATGAAATACTCCAAGTTATTAGGTCAAGATCTCTCTATTTAGTGTCAATGCACATCAGCTGAATGGATAACTATGTTTTTTTCCCTATATGGCCCTTCATGTGTCTTATTAAGTGAGAGTTTTGTTTAAAGTTCTTCAGACACTCAGAACACTGATAGGGCTTTTCTCCTGAATGACCTTTCATGTGTCTTATTAAGTGAGAGTTTTGTTTAAAGTTCTTCAGACACTCAGAACACTGATACGGCTTTTCTCCTGAATGGCCCCTCATGTGTGTCACTAAATTAGATCGGTGTGAAAAGTTTTTTAGACACTCAGAACACTGATATGGTTTCTGTCCTGTATGGACTCTCATGTGTATTATTAATTGAGATTTTCCAATAAAGTTCTTTTGGCACTCAGAACATTGATAGGGTTTCTCTCCTGTATGGCACCTCATGTGTATTACTAATTGAGAGTTTTCTAAAAAGCTCTTTAAACACTCAGAACATTGATATGGCTTTTCCCCTGTATGACCTTTCATGTGTCTTACTAGATAAGAGTTTCGTGAAAAGCTCTTTAGACACTCAGAGCATTGATACGGCTTCTCTCCTGAATGTACAGTCAAGTGTGTTACTAAATTAGATCGTTGAGAAAAGTTCTTTAGACACTGAGAACACTGAAAAGGTTTCTCTCTTGTATGGACTATCATATGTTTTACTAAATGAGATTTTTCAGTAAAGCCTTTAAGACACTCAGAACACTGATATGGCTTATCTCCTGCATGACTTCTTATGTGTGTTACTAAATTAGATCGCCTGGAAAATTTCTTTAGACACTCAGAACATTCATATGGTTTCTCTCCTGTATGTACTCTCCTGTGTGTTACTAAATAAGCATTTCTTGAAAAAGTTTTTAAACACTCGGCACACTGATATGGTTTCTCTCCTGTATGAACCCTCATGTGTATTACTAATTTAAATTTCTGATTAAAATTTTTTAAACACTCAGAACATTGATATGGTTTCTCCCCAGTATGAACCTTCATGTGGGCTACTAAATGAGAACGCTGAAAAAAGTGCTTTAGACACTCAGGACACTGATATGGCTTCTCTCCTGAATGACCCCTCATGTGTGATACTAAAGTAGATCGATGTGAAAATTTCTTTAGACACTCAGAACATTGATGTGGTTTCTCTCCTGTATGACCCCTCATATGAACTACTAAAGTAGATCGGAGTGAAAAGGTCTTTAGACACTCGGAACATTGATACGGTTTCTCTCCTGTATGAGCCCTCATATGTGATACTAGATTAGATCGTCTAGGAAAGTTCTTTAGACATTCAGAACATTTATATGGTTTATCTCCTAAGTGGTTCTCCATGTGTCTTATTAAATGAGACATTTGTAAAGAATTCTTTTGATATATGTCTGTCATATAACTGTAACAGTTTTGAGAGATTTCCTACTCACACATCCTGGCCCTGGGTTAGGCTTGTTTGGTGTTTGCCTGGTCAGTCTTGTTGTTGGTTGCTTGGTGGGACACATCTTCAGATATTCAGAATACCGATATAGTTTCTCTCTTGTGTTTATCATACTACCACTATATGCACTGTTTTTAAATGCATTTAGACACTAGAGAAGTATCTCTACTTTCATATATGAATTCTTATGAATTAAGATAAATATTTGTTTAATAGATTTTGACTACTTAAAGTTCTTATATAATTTGGGGGGAAATTATTTTAAACACACACATTTCTCTCCAGAATTTAAGCTAATTTGGTCAGAACAGTCAGCTCCCAAATGAGAGTTTGTATTTACATAACTGGCAGGGTAAGATGTATTTACATCACTGGCAGGGTAAGATGTATTTACATCACTGGCAGGGTAAGTTGTATTTACATCACTGGCAGGGTAAGATGTATTTACATCGCTGGCAGGGTAAGATGTATTTACATCACTGGCAGGGTAAGATGTATTTACATCACTGGCAGGGTAAGATGTATTTACATCACTGGCAGGGTAAGATGTATTTACATTACTGGCAGGGTAAGATGTATTGATATCTTAACACTCACAGTCTTCAACTGAAAGTAAATAAATACTACAAAGATATATTTATCCCAGAAATATAAATTAGCTGAGTAGGATAACTACTCTTAAATTGTAATATACATAAAAAAAAATCTTTAAAAAGAAAAGACAGAGGTTTAATTACTTAAAATTAGTAAGGCATCCCTCCTAAATAAGCAGTGTAGTTCAGGGGTCCCCAAACTCTTCAGCTCATTGACCCATTCATGAAGTTTCAGATTCTTCATTGGCCCCCAAACATTTATTATATGAAAAAAATTTAATAAATATTGCTTATAGAGTGCTATGAATAATAACAACAAATAACAATAATAATGGCTTCATAAAAACTAGATAATATTTAAATTATGGAAAACATATGATTTAACATACATTTTCATACTGACTATTGATATCATTAATGGGAAGGATGCATCTGATGAATATCAACAAAGGCACTGATATACATTTGGTGATTAGTGAGTTTTAGTCCTAAGTCACCATGCTCTTCCAGATTCAGCAATCACTTTTTTGGCACCACTTCTATCACTATAGGTGTTGAGAATGTACTGACTCTCTAACAGAGTTCGAGGAGAGAGAGTATGCTCAGCATGGGAAATAAACAGGAACTGTGCACGTGTGTATATCCTTCCCAGGACAAAAGAGATGAGAAAGATAAGGGGGAGGGTGGAAGGTCACAGATATACATACAACACAAGCATGTTCCCAGGCAAATACTGACCCACTTCTGACCCCCAGCCATTTACTGATCCCTTCAATAGTCACAATGACCCTTAGACATTGATACTGATCACTTTGGGGAACCCTGGTGTGGTTCAGTGAGACTTATTCTGCAAAGACACTCAAGACACTTCCAAGAACAATATGGTTCCTATACTATGCAAACTCTTATTTGAATTTCTGGATTAGATTTTTCATGCCAGTCTGTAAGCCTAAGAATGCTAATATACATCACATAATCTATGTGAATTAGGATATCGAATGAGAATCTGATTTCTTACCTTACACAACTTTGAATCAAGAACTGCTACAGGCAGTATTTCTAAGAAAAATAAATGCAAAAGAAATGTGGCTGCTGAGGCATATATATTTGTAAAAAGAACAGGAAACAAAAGAAAGACTTTTTTTCTTATTACTATGAGGGATATGCACTTCAAGATGACATTTTAGTATGCACTCACTGAAGACACTGAATAATGGTTTTACTGAAAATTCACTTCGAACTTGATATAATTTACACACTTTTCCGATGGCAATAGTCTTCAATGCTCATGTAACATGCACACTACCACTCAGGGTAAGATGGACTGCAGTGTTCATATACTATGTACTTAACCTCTGTAAGAATGTAGATATGCTTGTTTATAATAAATATGAATTACACCTACCATCCGACTTACGACCGAGTTCGGTTCCGAGAAACCAGTCGTAAGTCGAAATGGTCGTAAGTCAAACTTTACTACTGAATATCAACAAAACATTTTTGTAATGACTTTATTTTATTGCTTTATTTTGGTATTTCATGTTTTACTTTACTTTTTATGTTGTTAGTACTGTATTTTATACTGTAAGGTTTAGGATAAACACTGTGTACAACACAAATAGTTGTTTATTTCCCAGAAATTTGGCATAAAAAGCACGGTCGTAAGTCGAGTGGTCGTAAGTTGAGCAGGTCTTAAGTTGGATGGTAGGTGTATATCAGACAGACAGGTGAGCATTCACTACAACACACCAACTGCTAATGCCTGTAAAACACTTTCTCTTATGTTGTGTTATTTGTGTATGCAAAACACTTCAGATAATAGAAAACTTGGGAATTAAAAATTAAATACACACTGGCTGTTGAAGTTGTGACTGAAAAAACCTGACATGTGATGATGAACTATAATTTACCTACTGTATAAGTGGTAGCAAATTTGTCATTCTTACAGCCCAGCCTGAGTCTGTAGCAAAGACTGTTCACGATATATATTTGCTGATTATGTATCACCTAAGATTATGCCGAGTGCACACTTCAAATGTTCTTGAAGTGAAATGGCGAGCTGTAAAAGGCAAGTTGAGTGATGAGGTTTTAATCTCACATTAAACTGATTTTTAAGCATCTACTAAGTTTTTTCTGCTGAGATATTCAAATTATAATGCAATTTGATAATTTCTAGAATACATGAATATACAGTAGTACCTCGAGTTTCAATCAGCTCCCAACTTGAACAATTATGTAAGTGTATTTTTGTAAGTGTATTTTTTGGGGTCTGAAATGGACTAATCTAATTTACATTATTCCTTAGGGGAACAAATTCATTCGGTATCGGCACTCGAACAGCCTTCTGGAAAGAATTAAGTTCGTAATTTGAAGTACCACTGTACTAACATTATATGTTGACATTATAAAATAAATTTAGATAATCCCTTATGTAATTTTTACTCTCGTCTGATGTGCCATTGACCACTGAACATATCCAAATATTTGTTCCCACATTATTCAATCTTAGTACAGTAGAACCTTGGTTGTTGAACTTAATTCATTCCAGATGTCGATTCAACAACCAAAACAATTTTTCCTACAAAGAATAATGTAAATAAAATTAATCCGTTCTAGACCCCAAATGACAATATAATAATTTATTAAAATTTTACTAATACATAAAACTATAAAAAACTACAAGAAGCTTTAACTGAAATACTGTACAGTAAATGAAAATTTAACTGCCTCTTACCTCTCAGAGGAAAGCTAATGGCATACTGGAAGCAGGAGGAGAAGGAGAGGAAGTATGTTACTGCTTGGAAGGAGAGTCATCTTTTATTAACATGTCAGGCAACTGTCCTTCTGGTGTTGTTTCTCTTCTTTGTCTCTTTTTACCACTAACATCATGTTCTGGCTCACTGGTTCTTTATCTCACTAAAAACCTGTCCAGTGAGGTTTGTTTCTGGTTCTGTTTTAACACTTGTCTAAACTGAGACATTACACTGTCACTATACATGTTAGAGAGACGGATGGCTACTGCTTTGTCTGGATGGTATTTTTTTTAGCAATCTCCTACATTTTGTGCCATTTAGTACACATTTCCTTGACAAGTGCAATGGGAACATCATCCCTTCCCTCCTCTTTCTCTGATGACAACTCCTCTGCTGCAATCTTTTGCTGTTCCTTCTGAAGGTCTACAAGTTCTTCTACGGTGAGCTCCACCAACTCCTCCACATCATCTTCAGTTACCTCTAGGCCCAAGATCTTCCCCAGGGACACAGTATCCTTTACCAGCTCAAGCTCATCTTCAACGCCTTCAAAATCCCTGGCTGCCACAAAAATCAGGCCACAATTTCTTCTATTTCTGCAAGGTCCTGGAAGACACATTCTCCCAAACTTTGTCTATAAGCCTCAAGCAGGTGAGGATATTGAAATGGTCCTTCCAGAACTCCCTGAAGATTAAATTTGTTTCTGAGGTGATTTCAAAGCATCTTTCAAAAAATGCTTTTGCGTAGAGTTTCTTGAAGTCAGAAATGAACCTGCTGGTCCATGGGTTGGATGAGCGGAATGGTGTTAGGAGGCAAGAACTTCACAGTCATAAAACTGAACTCCTCCAGCAACTCGTTTTCCATGCTTGCAAAGTCAGTAGGAGCATTATCCATAAGTAAAAGGGATCTGAGTGGCAATTGTTTTTTAATGAGATACTTTTTGACAGTAGGAGCAAAAACCTCATGAACTCACTCAGAAAACTGTATTGTTACTCAAGCTTACATGTTGGCCTTCCACATTATAGCCACTGTTTTTCACAACATTGTTTTTTGTACTTAAAAATGTAAGACTGTCATAAATTGTACTGCCTCGTATTAACAATAGAGTGAATACAGACTGCTTGTATTCTACCACTCTCCACCTGTCTAGATTTAAGTAATCTATAAGTATTATGTTAAGTCTACCCGAAATGCCTCGGCATGACAGCGGCTTTCTCTGTTCCAATCATACCATATGTAAACACACACATTGTAACATTAGCAAAGAAATAAATATTTTATTTATTTATTTATTTTAAAAACTTGTTTATTTTTGGAATGATAAAGAAGGTAGGGTCTCAGTTTCAAGTCCCCACTTGCATTACCAAACAGTAACAGAATGAGCCCGTCTTTCTTTGGCTTGTGTCCTGGCATTGATTTTTCCTCTGCAGTTATATAGGTCCTCTTGGGCATTTTCATCCAGAAGAGGCCTGTCTCATCACAATTAACCCATTCACTATTGAGACCTCTGCTCACAAACTTGCTCTCAGTGTCGAAGAATTAAAAAAAAAAAAGAAGTTTTCTTATGAAATAATAATCTTTGCCCAATAGTAATGAAGCCAAAAGTGTCAAATTTTTTATGTAAAACTTACGGAATTATGCTTTCGGGACGGTAGCAGTCTCAGCGATATTTATGCATCAGCGACTTTGCCCACTTTGAACCCTATTTTCGGCCAATTCTATTATTGAAGTCGACCAAACTCATAGCTAGTTTGTTAGAACTCCTTTTGTTCTATCGACTAAGTACATTAGTCAACATTAAGCCCATTATGTTTATTAGCTTATACACTCTACCTGACCAACAGGCATTAGCTATACATTAGTTCAAAAATCCACTTATTACAGATACCAGTACTGGAACTCAAAATACTATACATGATAAAAAGAATTACCACTTACTCTAAATGATGAATGATCATGTTGACCCAGATCTAAATCTAAATAATCCAACACCCAATCAAAGTTTAATGGAAAGTAACTGCCACTATTGCACAGCATCACAAGCCAGCACTGTCCTAAATACTTCTAAAAATATTACAGTTCTTAACTACACTATCAGGTTCCTGAGCAAACACTATGATGACCTCGTGGCACTCTTTGATTCCCTAAAGACAACTTTCTCCTGCATTATTGTCACTGAAACCTGGCTTAAGCGGGACACAATTGATATCTACTTACTACTGGGATACACAGCAATCCACAACTGCAGACCAGACCAAGTTGGGGGAGGTATTGCAATCTATTACTCTAACAAACTATCTTGTTATAACACCACTTGCTTTAGTGATGAATATGGAGAATATATTTTTGCAAATTTTACTGAAAAAAACCTTAAGACCCCTATTACAGTCAGTGCCATTTACCAGATGCCACATACAAACATCCCAAATATTAGTGATAAATTAAAGACACTAATAATAAACAATCAACTGAACAAGCACCACCTACTATTAGCCAGAGACTTCAACATCAACCTTGGCCTAACAGATGATCAATCAGTAACAGATTTCATCAACAATATGAACAGCACACTTCTCATACCATCTATAACTAAACCAACCAGGCTGACAAGAGACAACTGCAACCATAACTGACCATATATGGACCAATATACTTGCCCCCCTAAAACCAGGAATAATCACAGACAGCACTACTGACCACTACCCAACCTTCCTCTTAACAAACACTGGTAAACAACTGCTTGAATACAACAAAATTTCTTTTAGACTTCACAAGAGCTACGGACAGTTGACTGGCCTACAGAATTCTTCAATGCCAATGGTATTGATGATTGGATTGACAAATTTCTTAAAAAATTACTTAGACTATACAGCGGTACCTCGGGATATGAACAGCCAAAAACTCAAACAATTATGTAAGTGTAATTATGTAAGTGCTTTTATAAGTATTTTGGGGGGTTTGAAACAGATTAATCTAATTGACATTATTCCTTATGGGAATAAATTCGTTTGGTATCGGCACTCGAACAGCCTTCTGGAACAAAATAAATTCATTTCCTGAGGTAATTAACAGCATACTAAGGTCTATAGATAAGAAACATCAGTATGAAAAGCAATATAGGCAGGGTTTAATACACAAAGACATTGTTTAACACTATTCATCAGTTTTCACCAAACTGATAAGAAAGGCCAAGCAATTATACTATTCCAGCAGATTCACCGAAACATTCCAGCAGATTCACCGAAACAAGAGGAGATATGAAAATAACCTGGAAAATACTCTCTCAGATTCTAGGCACCCACAAACTGAAAAAAACAGGGATACTGTTCTAACTAAACCAAATGAATCACAATTACAGCCTATTGATACAGTCAACAAGATAAATGACTTCTTCTCAACCATAGGATCAAACCATGCCAGTAAAATCCCAGGTACCAATGCCCGAGCCAGTGACTACTTAAGTGGAAACTTCCCATCCTCCATCCATCTTGCACCTACTGAGCCCACCGAAGTCACCTCGATTATCAAATCACTTAAAATTAAATCAGGGAATCTGTCTCAAGTCCCATCATTATTGTACAAGCGAGCGGCTCATGCCCTTTCGCCTGCTATTTCATTACTCTTTAACAAATCCTTAGAAACTAGCACCTTCCCAACACTGCTCAAGACAGCAAGGGTTACACCAACACACAATGCTGGTGACCCCACAGATGTAAATAACTACAGGCCAATATCAAACTTACCGCTACTATCTAAAGCCTTCGAGAAAGTCGTGCACAAAAGACTACAGTGGACCCCCGGATTAAGACACAATCGGATTGAATAACATTTCTGCGTCAAAATATTGGCTTGGTTAACGACACTGAACTTGGTTAAAGTCATTTGTCCTGAACGTGTCCACACGCTTTGAGCGGCCCAGACACTCATGTGCAGCCAGTGTGGACGATTCCATGTGTACATGCGATACATTTTGTATTATTCCATTGTTTTTAGTGCTTGTAACTGCTAAATAAGCCACTATAGAATTCAAGAAAAGTTTGTAGAAAGATACGAAAGTGGTTGTGGTAGAGGGTGGTACACCAGCCAGAGTGCTTCCCCACATACCAGCCAGGTTACTTCCCCACACACCAGCCAGGATACTTCCCCACATACCAGCCAGGGTACTTCCCCACACACATGATTTGATTTGAGTGGGATTTGCACATGAGTGAATAGAATTATCAAAGCTTATTTCTTGAGAAGCACTGAAAATTGGGTTGGGCAAATACGATTCTGTTAGTGGGATGGTTTGTGAAGGACTGGCCTAGTA